CCTGAATAAAAATTGTCATTAGGGAGCACACTCCTCTATTCATTTTACTAGAACATAACGTAATTGAAGCAAGCTAGAGATCGTAGTGATAAGTATTCTTTTTTCACCATGCTTAACAATTAGGAAAGATTTTTAACATGATTTTATTTGTTTTTCTGGGGAAATTAAAACATAAGAATTATTGGAACCTGCTTCATAATTTTCTTCCCTCAAATCTTTATTGGAGAATTCCTTAAAGGAGCTCTTCAGACAATTTAAAAACAATAAAACATTCCCTTGAATTCAGCTGTCTAGCATAGGAACCAAAAAGACTTGAATTCCATAGGGCCAGAACAGGGTGTGTCTAGAATCAAAAGTAAATATAAGAACTGCAAGTGACATACTTATTTACTGCAGATGTACACCTCGTCCCATCCTTTCTCTTGCCTTCACAAATTCCGAAATCAACTGAAATGCCAATTTTAAGAATTTGACTGGCAGAGCAAACACTTAAGGAAAAGCCTGATCCCTGAAAAAAACAAATGGAAGGTTTTAGTTATTTAGGGAATTTTGTTCATAGCAATTACAAAAGAATATGTAGCATTATACCATGCTGTCTTTGCGTACAGAACAATTAAACAGCCCAAAAACTGTTCCAAGCTGCTCGTTCCAGTTCTGCTGGTAAGCATCACCAAACATGAAAAGCGATATAACATCATTGTTCAAACACCCCATTTTCCATATACTATACTTCTTCCCAATAGAACTAGTCTTTGGATCCCCTTTCTCATACAAGATCCCAATAGTTGCCCAACAACCTGAAAGTGTCTCTCCTGCTATCACGTTCCTACAAAAATCCAACATATGAAATCACTGTCTGTATCAATTTCCTTGCTTGCAAAAGCAAAATGACAGAAAAAGTTATGTTTTCTTTTCTGATTGGGTCACATACTTTATGGTGGGTAACCGAACAAAACGAATGTCTGAGAAATAGTCACTTAGCTCTGCAGGGCTGAGCAACTGACTCCTAAACAACAAGAGAAAAGCATGAGATTAGAAAAGACAAATTTGAAGTGATAAAAATCCATGGACACTTTCAACTCCCAAGGGCTCCTTACATTGTGCTTTTGCTATTCATTTTCGATTGCTGAATAAACGAAGCTATCTTTAATGTCACAATCTCTTAAAAAGGCAGCATGCTAAGAAATACAACAGCCTGAGAAAGAATAATACTCTTACTAACGACAAAAATGTCTACTGCCTACCGTAATACTCATCAAAAGGCCTATTCATTGAGCTAGGCTCACTTCCTTTACTAACTGTCGTAGAGATTTCTTTTGAAGAAAAGGTCAAAGAACTCAAAACTGAATCACTGTCAGCAACAAAGCAAGTATCAATTTTTTTTGGTATAGAACTGGCTTCTGTACCTTATTCTCAACCCTGAAAATTTCTCAAAATCAGCAACTTTTGACTTCTTAGAACTCTTCAATTTGTCATTTTTCTCGACTGGTTTGAGCTCATAATCAAGACAGTCTTCAACAACATCCTTAAATACAGACATATCCACCTGTCCTCTTCTCCTAGTCCTAGGTGATCCATCATCTGAAAGATAGCCTGTAAATTTTACGCAAAATTAGGGTTCAATAAAATTAGTAGCTATTTTAATTATTCGGCACTGCATTTGAAAGATAAATCTGAAAGCACCCTAATGCATAGATAACAAACTCCCATAAGACGAAGCCGCCATGCAATGTCAAGAAATCTACATAATAAAAAACTCCACAACTACAAATGTAGAGCCGCGAATTAGATAAAAAAACAAGCGCTATCCAGATCGATTTTCGATTGAACGAGGCATACTCGATGAACCCATTAAATAATCCGATAAAATCCTGTCCCCAATACAAGAGTGGAGCACTATATCATCAGTGGCTCCCGAATCAACCAAGCCAAAGAAATGCTTACCTGGTGAAAGAGAGTGAGAGTTTGAAGGAGAACCAGGTGGGGTTTCTAAAACCCTATCTTGCAGAGAGAGAAGAAGATCAAGATCCTCTTGGTGGCTAGACATGGCGGAACTCCTGTTGAGCGCTTCCATGAATTTTTCCAAAACCAAATCAATGATACTGATTGCTCCACCATTTTTTTCTTTTCTGTTTCCATTTTGGAGGGAGACGAAAGAAATCTTTTTGGAGGGAATTTCAGAAGAATGAAAAGAAGCCGCTTAACCAGCAAAAATATTTTTGAATAAAAACGCTGTCGCTTCACTCTTTATGAAACGCACCGTTTTGTCGAACGCAACCGACATATTTGGCGACAGGTAAGAATTTTCAAGAACAACGTTCTGCCGCCAAACCCGGCTCCTTTCTCGTGAACAAGGAATGCTAATTAGAGTGAGCACCGGAAATAGAAAGAAGAAACATACAAACCAGTGAATAAATGCAGAACAAATGGTGACCCGTCAAAAACAAGACGGAAAAGATCCGAAATTTACTCTGAAACCTTTCGTTTTAATACCACTCTGAATCCTATATCTTTGTCTCCCCCATGCCACTCTTATTTGAGCTCTCCTGTGGTGGGTTTCCTTATCATCCTCACAAGGAAGAGGTCCAAAAAAATATATTCAATCTTTAGCCCTAAAAGCACAGACCCGATTTCGGGTTTCTTCGTCAAAAATATCGGCGATGATTACCTTCCCATGTCTGAGAAGCGTTCTTCTGGCCGCCATCCTTTCGTCCTTTCTAGTTTCTTGTGCCGTTGCTCATGGGAAGAAGGAGCAGGCTGTTACTTATGATGGAAGGTCGTTGATCGTTAATGGCAAGAGGGAGCTTCTTTACTCGGGCTCCATTCACTATCCACGCAGCACCCCTGATGTAATGATATAAATATTTGTTCATATAGTTTACTATGTGTTTGATGTAATGATATGGAGAGGTTATCAATGGAGGTTTTCTGATTTTGGGTTTTGTATTGAGATGGGTTTCAGATGTGGCCAAGTATTCTTGCAAAGGCTAGACGTGGAGGTTTGAATGTGATTCAGACTTATGTCTTCTGGAACATCCATGAACCAGTACAGGGCCAGGTAATGAAGTTTAAGATATGTAAATACAGTGTATATACGTGTATGCGTATATAGTGTTTATATGCCTTTTTGATGAGTAACGTGGATCATTCTTGGATGTTTTGCAGTACAATTTCACAGGGAACTATGACTTGGTGAAATTTATCAAATTGGTTCAAGAGCATGGTATGTTTGTTACACTCAGGCTTGGACCATTCATTCAGGCTGAATGGAACCATGGGTAAGGCTTCTATATACTCTCTCTCTTTCTTTCTCTCTCTCTCTCTCTCTCTCTCTCTATATATATATATATATATATATATATATGTTTGGAGTAACTATAACACATTTCAAAAGCATAATCAGTTAAAAACATCTCAAAAAATTTAATTGGTTCATAGTAAATATCTTTCAGAAAATTATGAAAGAAAAATTCTAAGTAAAGAAATCACATTTCTCTGTCTCACTAATTTGTGTTTCTGTAGTGTCTAATAATTTTTTCTCTGTTTGATCCAATCATTTTAGTTTTGCACCTCTGAAATGATTTGGTTTTGATCAATCTGAATATGTGATCAGAGGACTTCCATTTTGGTTGAGAGAGGTCCCTGGCATCATTTTCCGCTCTGATAATGAACCATGGAAGGTAAGTGATCTCATGAACTTTATTATATATAATTGGAACAATCCAGCCAGCTCTTGTAGCCTTGAACTTTCATGTATATAAATACAGCATCACATGGAGAAGTATGTTAAGATGGTTCTAGATAAGTGTAAAGCTGAGAAGTTGTTTGCTCCTCAAGGAGGTCCAATCATCTTGGCACAGGTATGCAATGAACTTCCTTATGGGTATATATATGTACTTATGTATACTTCTTACTTTGATTACCAATTGAATCCTCTTATAACTTCTGTCTCCTATAATGCAGATTGAGAATGAGTACAGCGCTATCCAGCGCGCTTATAGAGCATTGGGAGACAGTTATGTCCAGTGGGCAGCAAAAATGGCACAGTCAATGAATATTGGAGTGCCATGGGCCATGTGCAAGCAAAATGATGCCCCTGATCCCATGGTACATGATCTTTGACAGATTCTATCTTCTTGATCTTGATCAGGAGATTATAAAAGTTAATGTCAGGAAATTGGCTATTTTCAGTTTTAATTTGTAAATGAAAATCATGCACTGATTTGCAGATCAATGCATGCAATGGAAGGCACTGTGGAGATACATTCCCTGGTCCCAACAGCCCCAACAAGCCTGCAATCTGGACTGAGAACTGGACTGCTCAGTAAGTTTTCTCTTTTTCTGATTTGTAGTTTACACATTCATGAGCTTTAGCTGACAACTGTTGAATGAATTTGGTGTTAGTGCAGGTTCAGAGTTTTTGGTGATCCACCATCTCAAAGATCAGCAGAGGACATTGCATTCTCTGTTGCTCGCTTCTTCTCCAAGAATGGAACTCTAGTGAACTACTACATGGTAAGAGAGAGACGTGAGCATTGTTTGCTATAGATTGTCTCAAACAATTCAGCTATTTTAATTTGAAGGACACTTCTTGGCTTACATTTGTAAATCATCTATTGGTTCATTCTTGCAGTACCATGGTGGGACAAACTTCGGTAGGACAGGTGCCCATTTTGTTACTACTCGCTACTATGACGAAGCTCCTCTTGATGAATATGGTAAGAGATTCCAAATCCAAAAATGTAGTCCAACACCGGAGTACTATTTCACGTATCTTATCATGATCAAACTTGTTACAGGATTATTGAGGGAACCTAAATACGGTCACCTCAAGCACTTGCATAGAGCTCTTAACTTGTGCAAGAAGGCGCTGCTTTGGGGGGAACCTCGTGTGGAAAGATTGGAAAAAGATGTTGAGGTGAGTGTCCCAAAAAATCGTCACTTCAAATAAGATACAGATATTGAAACGAGGAAGATTACTGAAAATGTTAAACAATGCAGGTTCGGTACTATCAACAACCTGGAACAAAAGTCTGTGCAGCTTTCTTGGCCAACAATGACACTAAACAGGCAAAGACTGTTAAATTCAAGGGTCAGGAATTCCTTTTGCCATCACGTTCTATTAGCATCCTCCCTGACTGCAAGACTGTTGTATTCAATACTGCAACAGTAAGTCTCAGCAAAACCTTTTCTTGTCTCCTTGATCTTGATCTTGAGTTGATTTTCTTATCCTTTATTGTACAAACAGATTGTGGCACAGCATAACTCAAGGAGCTATCACGAATCAGAGAAAGCAAACAAGAACCTCAATTTTGAGATGTATAGTGAAAATATCCCAACCAGACTCTCTGATGTAAATGTGATCCCTCATGAACTCTTTGGCTTGACCAAGGATGTATCGGACTATGCATGGTACACCACAACGTAAGTACTGTTAACTCCTTGTATTGCTAAGTCCCAGAAAGACAAGGGGACATATATCACCTAAAATATGAAGTGTTTGGTTATTCTGGTTTCAGAATTAAGTTGGATCCAGAGGACTTGCCAATGAAAAAGGATATTCTTCCAGTTCTGAGAGTTTCAAGTCTTGGCCATGCTTTGGCAGCTTTTGTCAATGGGGAATATGTTGGTAAGAAATCAGATTTTTATCAAACAAAAATGAGTTTTGTTTATCCATGACTTTGGTCTCCACATTCATTAAACTTGAATTATATGTTGGTAACCTCAGGAAATGCACACGGGAGCCATGAAGAAAAGAGCTTTGTATTCCAGAAACCTATCAAGCTGCATGTTGGTGTCAACGATATCACCATCTTGGGCATGTTGACAGGATTCCCCGTAAGGCGCTTGATCATAACTTCAACATTGCTGCTGTACTTAATTATGAGAACTGATGCACAGTTTTTTACTTGTTCAGGACAGTGGAGCCTACTTAGAGCACAGATATGCTGGTCCTCGTGGTATTTCAATCCTTGGTTTGAACACTGGAACACTTGATCTGACAGAAAATTTCTGGGGACACCGGGTATTGAAACTGCATAATCAAAACAACATTGTACAATGCTTTATTGCATATCTTATTAAGCAATGTCTCCTGAGTTTGCAGGTTGGATTGGAAGGAGAAAAGGCCAGTTGGTTCACTGAAGAAGGATCACAGAAGCTCAACTGGAAAAAAGCCGGTGGGAATGCCCCAGCTTTTACATGGTACAAGGTAATATACAGATTGCTCACTGCAGGGAACAATTGGCTCAGCATTTATCTTGAAAACTCTGAATCCTGAACCTTAAAAAATCTACTGCTCTTTCTGGGTCTAATTTTTTTTTTACCGCAGACATATTTTGATGCTCCTGAATCTGATAACCCTGTTGTTGTCCGAATGGATACAATGGGGAAAGGTATGATTTGGGTAAATGGAAACAACATCGGCCGATTCTGGACTGCATTCAAATCTCCACTTGGACAACCTTCTCAGTCCGAGTAAGTAAAAACCAAGCACTGATTTCCAGATCTTCATTGAAAATAAGTAATTAATTCGCTTAAAACTTGGCACCCTGTTATCAGATACCATGTCCCAAGAGCTTACTTGAAGCCCAAAGACAACCTGTTGGTGATACTTGACGAGGAGCCAGGAGTTGAGCCAAATAAGATTCAGTTCTTGTTGGTGAAGAGAGATACAATCTGCAGTCACATATCAGAAACTTACCCACCCAATGTCAAGTCCTGGACAAGGGAGAAGAACAAGATCAGACCAGTTGTTGATGAGGTGAAGCTGATGGCTAGTCTCAAGTGTCCAAGCCACAAGCAGATCGTCGCAGTTGAGTTTACAAGCTTTGGTAATCCTTTTGGCTCCTGTGGCAGCTTCTATAATGGCAACTGCACTGCTCCTGGTACCAAGGAAATTGTTGAGAAGGTACATAAATTGACACATACATATACATATATATATATATATATATGAATGAGGATTCTATGTTAACTTCAAAGTACCCGTACTGATTAGATCCCATATATATATATAAAGATTGATAGCTATGGTATTGCCAAATTATCATAGAGTATCTGTGTGTGTGTATAATTCATCATATTCACCAAATTAACATACAAAAACACTAACTGGGTCTGCCATTTTTGTACCAAATCTGCAGTATTGCCTGGGAAAAGAAAGCTGTTCCATACCCTTTGACAGATCAATCTTCCTCAAGAACAACGATGGTTGCGCAGATTCGCCAAAGTCACTAGCAATTCAAGTGAAGTGTGGGGGCAAGTGAAGAATAAAATCAGACAAGAACACTGGGATGTTTTAAAAATCACTGTTTGGCTCGGATGAATGAAATCAGACACACAGTTCAGCTTATAATGCCAACAGCCAAACAGATTACTTCAAGAATTCTTTTGAAAAATCTTCTTTTTTTTTTTTTTTATATCTTCTACTTTTTACGCTAGAATATGCTAGCATATACATCACCCATGAGTTGTATTCACGTTTTATTAATGTAACCATTTGTTAAACCATTAAATAGAAATTCTTTTTAATCTCTGAAATTGTTTGTTTCATTTTTTTAATAAATATCCAATATTCATCACTACCTGGTACAAACCGAAAAAGTGTATAGGAAAACAAAGATTTGTAATTATACAGTGAATTTATTAGAAATGTTCTTTTTATATTTAAAATATATAGATTTTGTTAATTAAAATTTTGTCTACATGTTTATATTGTTATCTTTTCATTCAATTTACTATTCTATCTAAATGGAAAAAAAAAAATTTAATAAATTTACTTGAAAATTAAAGTATGTATACGAATATAATTTATTTTTTATTTTTTATCTTTGTGAAAACAATACTTTTTTTTATTTTATGACTAATATGTCAAAATTAGGGATGTACAAAAAAATTAATAGAAAAGAACTTTTAACTTAGAAAGAAGCACCTATACATGTGGAGTGGACAAAGCAAAAATGAGAATGTCAACTTAAATAACTCAAACAATAGTGAAAATTTAAGGTTTAAAAAGTTTTAAAAAGTTCTTCAGCAAAATTCAACAGATGGGTGAGTTAAAATATAAGATTATGACAAAGGTAAGATAGATGAACAATAAATGAGTATATGTGCACTACTCCTTAGTCTTCATGGATACTTGATAGAGTAGGTTGAGTTACCTAAAAGTTTAGTTCTTGCCTCAATCATATCAAATATGCATATTCTTTTAGGACGGAAAATGTGAAAACAAAAAATTTGTTCCAAGTTAATGTCAAAGTACCAACCCTTACAATAACACATGTTATACTTTTTGAAATGACTAAATAATCTTTAACATGAAAATATATATATCTAAAATTCGAACAATTTGGTATCTAAAGTATATCTTGAGTCGTGAGAAAACTACATTTATTAAATTCGGCATATTAACTTCATAATTTTGGGGAAAAGAATGTTGTTTCCTCTTGAAGAAAGTTGCAATGATTAAATTGATATAATTGTTTACTAAGCTCTTAAAGTTGTAAAATTATATATTAACCAATATCTATCTACTATCAGTAGATAAATGAAGTTAGTGGCCTTGTGTCAAAGAAGTCGATGACAAAAGTTTTAGAGAACGGCATTGTAAGCTAATAGTTCTAAAATAACATACCTAATTTTTATCTAAAAATAAATTCTTCTCTAATTTCTATTAGACGTTAATAATAATGTTCTGTAAAATAGATTTTGTTATCATGTAAATGTGATGTGATTAGTATATTTTTTATTTTTTAGTGACGTTGGTAGATATATACTTTAAAACTAAATAAAATCTTTATAAAATTAATTTGTAAATTTATAACTGAGTATGAAAAAATACAAATTATATTAGAGAATAACAAAAACTTGTTCTTTATGAACTTTTATATAAAATTAGACCGATAAATTTTAAATTCTAGTAATCTAATAGAAATTAAAATGCATTCTTCCAATTTTCAATGTTATTACGAATCACATATGAAGTTAATTTTTTTCATTTTAGATAGAGTTTTTATAATTTTTTTAACTGAATAACATAAATCTTTAATAAAATTTAACATAAATTTATGAATGAAGACAATTTTCTTATTTGTTAGTATAACCTAAAACGACATCACTTAGGTTTTCTTTGGGGAAAAAATATCCACAAGAGCTAGTCTTTAACTTTGGAAAATGATTTTGAAAAATAATATATGTATAATGCTTCACAATTTAACTTAAATGTAGTTTTTTTGTGTAAAACTATCAAGAACAAATTGGAATTCATTGCCTTCTAATTGGCTGTTTTTAGGTTTCATGCGTGTATACATATAGGGATAGACAAGCAAATTATCTTATGGTTTGGTTATTTTTAGTTTTAATGTATGTAACCTTTCTTCAAAAATAAATGTAAAATTCCATATAAGTTCTAGGATTTATTCCAAACAGTTCTAAAATCTGTCTTCCTAAAAGCACCAATGCTCGCAGTTGTAAATGGTCAACGATATATATCAACAAACAACTATTAAATCAAATAAAACCACAACTGACAAGTGAAGACAACATATGACAGAATGAATCAACAAAAAGGGAATCAATAATATTTCAATGATTTATTTTTTTCCTTTTTAATATTTATGCCATACATGTATACTTTTACCAGCCAATAGGTTGAGACTGAGACAAAAATTCTACAGAATTCCCTATCTATATACAAAATTCCATAGCAGCTGGAAGAAGTCTGCTATTCCCTCTTCAGAGCTCGGAACTGTGATGGCAATAAACCGATCTCTGACCTGAAAACAATTCATCAGTCAATGACCTTCCCATCACATGTACCTAATTTAATAAAAGTTAGGTATGTTTAGAACATATTAAAAAGTTTAGCTCATGAATATCTGGAATGATCATGAACTCAAATTTATTGTTTTCTAATGGAATTTATCTCCATCCTAGTTAATTTTTCAAATGAATTCCATATTAATTCTATGATGTATTTGTTCCAAATATGCCTTAACTCATACAAACAAGAAAGATAAACTGAAGAGTCACTTCTCTAGCAAAGATCCTGGGAATTTCAGATAATATAAGTCCATAAGAAGGTAGAACTCACCTTTTACAATGCCACCAGTATTAGAAGAAAAGGAGGCATTATTGAGAAAACAAGATGCTACTTTTAAACATCAAAATAATCCCAAGGTAAGAGAAGTGAACTGTGATATGGATATGCACAGGTCGTTGATGGTTAGTCTGAAGAACTCATGACAAATCAAAAGAGCCCTGTCCTTCACTGATTGCATAAAGAAGTTTCTTGTACATAATTTCCTGATTCAAAGCACACGTTAATCATCAGTGGAACAACCAATTACTCGTTAAAAAGCATGATAATGATAACAACTTTTGAGTCAGAATGTGTAAACCGAATAAGAAACCTTAGTAGAATATGGAGGAAGTTTCAGGTAGTTGGCACAAGTCATGACACTTGGCAAGTCATCATCTGCTGACTCTGAGGTGCCAGTTCCAATTGATGCTGCATTACTAGTATTTGAGGAATGCTACAAAAACAGACAAGACAAGGTGTCAAGAGAGCACAGGGAAATATCAAAAGAATAGATCGGTAATATGGTTAGATTATGTTTTCCTCGTATTTGTTTAAAAACTGCAATTTGGTATTTGGTTTATAGGCAGACACACGATCCTCGCAAATTGCAGACACAGACACATCTGCAATAATTTCAAGTCCAATTTCTTTGAGGAAGAATGAGGTCTCTTTTTTTTTCTTTTTTTTGGCTAGAGAAATGGTAAATAACCAAGAACATGACTGCCTAAAAGTATTTCATTTGTTTCCTGACAAAACATTGTCTAAAATTACATATTCACAATACTTATAACTAAACCCCTGGAATTAATGTCTAGTTATACTTGCATATTCCACCTACTGAATCCATAAATTAAATAATTGTTCCACCCTCTAACTCCATCCATCTTTCTGGTCGACTAAAATCTGTTGAAACAATCAATTTACATCATTGCCTGACACCCAACATCCAAAAAAAAACTGTGACCCTGAAATTGATTCTAGCTGTACTTGCATATTCCCCCAACAAGATCTGTAAATTATGTCCTTGTCCTTCATCTTATGCCCTCAGTCCTATATTTCTGATCAGAAAGAGGTAAAAACAATCAATTATGCCTATAAGTTCTATGTTTAAAATACTTGCAACAAAGCACCTGAAATGAATTCTAGTTGTGGTTGCATATTCCCCCTAATGAGATCCTAATCTCAGTGTCACCTGAGAAGTCGATATCCAATAAAATGAAACACAAAATGTAACAGGCTACTATCATCTGAGGAAATATTGCTGCTACCTTTCTCACAATGGTTAGCTTTGGGTTCAACACTGCCAAACCACCAGGGGGAAGTCTAGGTGCCCCAGTAACAAACTGGCAGAAGGCTCGTTGCTGCTCCGGTGTAAATTCTCCCATGATCTCAAGTAACTAAATACAAAAAGACAATTAGAACAAGCAAGAACATAGAAAATACAAAAAGACAATTAGAACAAGCAAGAACATAGAAAATTTAAAGAAAATTTATTTTATAAATTTCAAACCATACGTTTATAATTGCAGGACTCTTTGCAGTGTAACCATGATCAAATTTTATATGATCAGCTAGCGTTTCGGCCTGCATTTAATCATAATACACAAATAATTGTAGAAGATCCAATTGCATCAAGTACATAGTGAACAAACACAAGTTGACGAAAAATTACCTCCCACAGCTCTCTGCGACCACATAGCAGATAGTCCAATTCATGAGGCGTAAATATTTGCAATGATGTGATGTCAAAGACCTGCTCATCATGTGCATCAGAAAAAAAAAAATAAGCAAGTACATCCAGAACAAATAATTGTAATAAATCAGAAAGTTGAAGCACAGACTACATGGATCAGCTGAGGGATGCCAACAGCACATCAGTATGCAAACCAAAGTTATCAAACAAATCCCATAAACAGAAGACAGCAACAAATGTACCATGGATTCATTGTTGTCTCAAGAATGGTAGAATTGGAAAAAAATTTCAGGCCCCTTTATATAGTTATTTTAAAGAAGTAAAACTTGTTAGCAACCCATTTTCAGAGTCCCTTTATGCTGAAAGATGATTTTAGCAGAGTACCAAAAATTAACTCATCTAAACAGGACAGAGTGACAGCAAATGGTTTTGTTCGTCGATCAGCACGAAATCTCAATTTAAAAATCAATATATTTCTTTCATTAAAAATTAATAAAATTGATCTTCTTAACATGATAATCA